CTCCGTGTGGCTGCGCGGGGACGGGGGAGTGAGTGCCCCCCAATCTGGAGGCTGGAAGCTAGCGGCTGCGCAGCCACAGGAAGAGGCGATGGAGAGCTCACCACTTGGTGAGTTAAAAAAAATTCTGTATACCCTGCACCCGAGTATACCCCGTGGGGGGGGGGTGCGGGGTTTGTAAAAACTAATATAACCCGCGGGTTATAGTCGCTAAATTACGGTACCCAGGCATCAGCGTCTTCAAGACAGGCCCAAGAAAGGAAACAACAGAACATCACTGGTCATTACTTGCAGCCCCCAGTTTAAACCCCTCCAGCACATCATGAACGATCTACAACCTATCCTGGCAAATGACCCCTCACTCTCACAGGCTTTGGGGGACAGGCCAGTCCTCGTCTACAGACAACCCCCTAACCTCAAACAAATTCTGTCCAATAACCAGACAGCACACCTCCACCGTACTCACCAGAAACCCACCCCTGCAAACCCACCCGGTGCCAACTCCGTCCACACATCTATACAAGCGACATCATCACAGGACCTAACCACATAAACCACCACATCAGAGACACAACCACCAATGTGATCTGTGCCATCAAGTGCCAGCAATGCCCCTCGGCCTTGTGTAATGGCCAAACTGGACAGTCTCCAAGACAAAGGATGAATGGACACAAATCAGATATTTGAAATGGTAACACAGAAACCGGTTGGGGAAAATGCAACTTGCCTGGGCCCTCACTGAGTGACTATATTATTTCAAAGCAATTTCAACAGTCAGCTGGAGAGAGAAGCTGCAGAACTTGGTTTCATTTACAAAAGACCTTAACTGGACGGGCTGCTCCATTCCACATCCTAAGGAGGTAAAAAGCCAAGCACTGGGTACTTAGAATACTTAGAGCCCACTCTAGTAGCCTCATTTAGCATGGACACTCTAATTGACAATCCCCCCCCCCACCCTTCTCTTTCTCTGCTATTTATTACTCCTCATTCCACAAGGAGTAACAGTTCATTCAAACTAAGGACTTAGTTCGAATTAACGTTTCACTGATGTGTGTAGCCACACGGCAGTGAGTTCGGGCTAGTGAAATTTCAAAATGGCGACCGGACGGGAACATGCAAATAAAGCCCGGGATATTTAAATCCTGGGCTTCATTTGCAACTCCGGTCGCCTCGTTTGCCTACCTAGCTTGAATTAACGAGCTAGTGTAGACATACCCTAAGGTGCTACAGGACTATTTGCTGGTTTTAAAGTTTGTTGTATTCCCCTGTCTGTCACAGCCACCTGCTGTCTCTCACCCTTAGCCTTAGATTATAGCTCTTCGGGGCAGACCCAGACATGTGGGTATGGATAGTACCTACCACCCTCATCCATGCCTTGGGCCTGAACTAAGAATAAGAATATAAGAACACGAGAACAGCCAGACTGGGTCAGACCAAAGATCCATCTAGCTCAGTGTCCTGTCTTCCAACAGTGGCCAATGTCAGATATCCCAGAGGGAGTGAACAGAACAGTGAATCATCAAGTGATCCCTCCCACAGGGGTGGCCAACCCGTTACAAGCAAACAGCCAAAATAGCGCGGGATATAACGCAAAGAGCCTAGAGCCAAGGGAAAAAAGTTGTTGTTGGGGAAAAAAAAAAAAAAAAAAGGACGTTGCCCCTTTAAAAAAACCTCCAGTTTGGCTTTTTGGCCACATCAGGCTCCTGTCGGCCGGCGCCATCATGCCAGCGCCATTTTGCTTCGCCATGCCGGATGGCTCCCCTGCACCCGGTGAGCACAGGGAACCAGGGGCCATTTGCAGGGGCGGCTTCACGAGTTGAGGGGGAGGCTTCGCGAGCCTCACTTTAAGACGGGTTGGCCACCCCAGCTCCCCTGTCATCCATTAACAACCTCTGACAAACAGAGGCTAAGGGCACCATTCCTACCCATTATGACTAATAAGTATTGATGGACCTAACCTCCATGAATTTATCGAGTTCTTTTTTGAACCCTGTAAAAGTCCTGATCTTCACAACATCCTCTGGCAAGGAGTTCCACAGGTTGACTGTGCGCTGCTTGAAGAAAAACTTCCTTTTGTTTGTTTTAAATCTGCTACCTATTAATTTCATTTGGTGACCCCTAGTTCTTATGTTATGGGATGTTGCTAATCTGGACAATTCCCATCTGGGATGGCTGGTCCATCCCTGAATAGTGGTCTATCTGTACTGTACCGCTTATGTGGTTCGGACACAAGAAGTTTGGCAGTTTTCAGAAGAGGGGAGAAGGGATAACCTTGGGGGGAAGTTTTGGAATGTGGGGTGCAGGAATGGGAGGGACAGGCCCAGAGTTACAAGGGGGAGGGTGGTTTCCATCTGGGAGAGGAATCTAGCAGGATGCAAAGGTGGGGACTGGGTAGCTGGGGCCAGAGTGCCAAAGGGGTCACACAAAGGGGTGCAATTTTCAATACGATTTCCAGTTATTATTTGTATCGTGAGCACAAGGGCCAACAACCCAGGAGGACCAGGGTGCAAGGTGCTGTACAAATAGAGAACAGCCCCAATGTGCTTTATCAGCATTTATCAGCTCAGCGCCAAGGGACTCTGAAAATAAGTTTGGATGAGGGCCGGTCTAATTCGCCACTCAGCTGCAGCAGAGATGGGCTGTCCAGCGCTGCTCCCAGCAAATATGTCACCTCCTAACTGTTCTTCCTGCTCAAAGCAATGCTGCCAGCTGTCTCCATTCCTGCCCTGCTCTTCCATTATCCCTCGCTCCCACGGCTGCCGCGGGACTTGCCTGCTTCCCCCAGGACACCACACAAGACACCCCAATGGGCTGGCTCCAGCACTGGGCTGTGTGGGGCAAAACGCTGATGGGCATTTTAGTGACTAGTTATTTCCAAGTTGACCCGACATACTCGGACAGACGCTCTCCTAAAAACACCCCCCTTCCCCAGCCCCATGGGCAGAGCCGCTCTCCCTGGCTGAAAAGACCTGAGCAGTTTAGGACAATGTCCCCTCCACAATCAAGACAAGAGTGAAGGTGTCATCACAGGAGCAAGCATGTCTGCTCTTACCAGGAGCACCAGGATCATGGGGCCTTGGTAGATGTAATCGGTATAGACACCTGCTCGCTTCCCGAACCAGCATCTGCAAGTCAAGCGAATGGGGCAGTCAGCATGGGGGCTGTGGGGCTTGGCACAACTTCCTGGGAAGAGCCCATCCCAAGGCCATGTCTACATGGGAAGTTGAGGTAGGACATGAATTTAAACACATCTGGAGTATTGTGTCCAGTTCTGGGCCCCCCACTATAGAAAGGATGCGGACGCATTGGAGAGGGTCCAGCGGAGGGCAACCACAATGATGAGGGGGCTGGAGCACATGACCTACGAGGAGAGGCTGAGGGATTTGGGTTTGTTTAGTCTGTGGAAGAGAAGAGTGAGGGGGGATTTGAGAGCAGCCTTCAACTTCCTGAAGGGAGGTTCCAGAGAGGATGGAGAGAGGCTGTTCTCAGTAGTGACGGATGGCAGAACAAGGAACAATGGGCTCAAGTTACAGTGGGGGAGGTCTAGGGTGGATATTAGGGAAAACTATTTCCTTAGGAGAGTGATGAAACACTGGGATGGGTTCCCTAGGGAGGTGGTGGAATCTCCATCCCTAGAGGTGTTTAAGTCTCGGCTTGACAAAGCCCTGGCCGGGTTGATTTAGTTGGGATTGGTCCTGCCTAGAGCAGGGGGCTGGACTTGATGGCCTTCTGAGGTCTCTTCCAGCTCTATGATTCTATGATTCTAACTAGTCAGGAATAAGGTGACTCTCAATCTGGAATTGAGGCTTATTTGCACTTGGATTTATTCCGGAATAGCTAACACTGAGCAGCCCTATGCGTGGACCCTCTCCTTCTGGGTAACAGACGTAGTATAATCTGACTAAGGGTACATCTACACTGTGCGGCTATTTCGGGAATCCTCTGGGTATCCCGAAATAGCTACCCTGTGTCTACACAAGCTGCCCGTTATTTCAAAATATTTTTCAAAATAACCGGCACGCTATTTCGCCATCCCGGTAAAGCTTGTTGCCCGAGGGTTAAGGGATGGCTCGAAATAGCGCGTTATTTCGAAATTTGGCATGGTGTAGATGCGCCAAATTTCAGAATAAGCTATTTTGAAATAGATTTGAAATAAGATGCGCAATTTGCATATCTGCTTTCAAGTTTAGCGTGCTGTGTAGACGCACTCTAAGTGGGAACAAGACTCCATTATTCTGCAAGAAGGATGCGTCCAGATAGAATTAGGAAGAGCAATGGCACTTTATATTCACACCTTTCCCTAATCTGAATTCGATGGCAAGAACAGGCAAGTTTAAGAGGCCCTTATTCTGGGTTAGTTTCCATTGCTTTGGAAGTAGTTTCATCTAAACCGGAGAGAGGCTGTTATCCTGGAATTATCGCCTCCCTCAGGCAGCTGTAAGGGTGGAACTGCAGCGAGATAATCGTACCAGACTAACATCCCATGTAGACAAGGCTTAAGAGTGTCCATCCAGCTTTGCCATGCCGGATGCATCTCCTGTGGAAAAGGTCTCAGAGTCACAACAAGGCAAAACCGCGGCTGCAAAACAAGGCAAGCTACCAGGCGCCAAAACAGGCTAATTTTAACTCCACAGTTCACGGGAAGAACACATCACGTTCCTGCTAAGTCCTCCATTAGCAGGGCTCTGTGAAAATGGCTCAGGTGGAGGCAGTTTATAAATCAGCTGGCTGATTAAATCCCACCTCCATTCAGCAAACACTTAGTAGGGACCCCTGGCTCAGGCTAACATCTCCCCGTAAATCCTCACTCCTCGCATCAAGGGGAAAGCCAGTCGCTGTGCGGAACTAGTGCTTAGGAAGAAAGGAAGAATCCTGTCTGGCATGCCCCACTGTTTGCATGCGGCCGCCTTCTGTACGTGCTTTAGGGGAACCCATAGCCACCCCTTTGTACAGCACCTAGCACAGCAGCCGTCCTGAGCAGAGACCTGGACAGCGCTTCAGTAGGGTGGTAGAATTCAGGCTTACTTCTCATTGTCATAATACAGCTTTCCAAGGGCCCAGGCAACAATGATCGGGAAGGGGATACCTGTGAGGAAAAAAACATATCGGTCTCAGCAGCAGAAGTACAGACGAAGGTCCTGGAAGATTTACCCCCGATTCCTGACCAGGACTCGGGGGCACTCGTGAGACACCGCCCCCGAAGCGCCGGCTCTCGTGGAGCTGATTGGAAGGTTGGTTCCTGATGAAATTTGAAAATTCAAGAGCCTGAAATTGGGGAAACTGCTGGGGAGGGTTTCATGAACTTTCCCCGTCTCCCTTCTTTTGCGGTCACACAGGCTGGCTCGCATGCTTTGCAAGTTGGAATGGAAAAAAATCAGGTGAAAGTTTTGAAGCAAATAAAATGTCGTTGGGGGACGATTTCACTAGCCCTGGATTTGGCATTGAGCTCGGCACAAGCTCCCACCGGGCTCTGCCTGCCGGCACCATGCAGCTGCGTGAATGGAAATGATTCTCCACAGTCTCGCCAGCGAGTCCCAGAGCTCTGAGGCAGGGAGGGCTCCGTTCCACCGGACTCCAGGGTCAGGTGCTAGGCAGGAAGAAATACCTCCCCTGTGCTCCCTGTAACCCCAGCCTCAGCTGGCTTGATAGCTCCAGGGGTGCGTCTAGACTGGCAAAAACTTGCCAGCTGTCTACACTGGCCGCTTGAATTTGCGCAAGAGCACTGACGTTCTAATGTAAGAATTCAGTGCTTCTTGCGCAAATACTTTGACGCTCCCACTCAGGGATAAGCCCGCTTGCGCAAGAGGGCCAGTGTAGACAGGCACCTTAAGTTTTAGCGCAAGAAAGCCCGATGGCTAAAATGGCCATGGGAGCTTTCTTGCACAAAAGCGCGTCTATACTGGGCACGGATGCTTTTGCGCAAAAGCGTCCGTGCCAATCGAAACGCTCTTTTGCGGAAATACTTTTAACAGAAAAACTTTTCCGTTAAAAGTATTTCTGCAAAATCATGCCAGTCTAGGCGCAGCCAAGCTGTATAGGCTCCTCTGCTGAGGTCCCAGGTTTGAATCTGCCTGCAGGTGGTTACACTCCCATTGGGTGTTATGTGGCTGAGCGCAAGGTTGCAAGGGGATGCAAGTGAATTTGTTTGAGGGTTGTGCCCAGGCCGCAGGGAACTTGGGTCAGGGGTGGGGTTGATCCCCCATTGGGTGCTGCCTCCAAATGCTTCCATGTTTCTGCTGCGCCAGGAGCCACGAGTACATGTGGTTCAACGGTATGGTATGGGCCGAACAGAGCCGGGCCTCAGACCATGAATGGCTCTATCCAGCCTCAGCTGAGCAAGCCCAGGCCAATGTAACATGGGAGGGGTGGTCCCAGCATGTAGCCGAGGGGGAATGCCAGCAGCATGTCCGCTGGGCATGGAGCTCCGCAGGCAGTGATGGTGTCTGCACAGACCCCCTGCATGCTGCTCTGGGCCACACGGGGAGTGGCACCCCACATCCCAGGCAAGGCAGGGGCAGGGCCTAGGCCCAGTCTTGGCCCCGCCCCCTGGCACTTACACCAGCCGATGCAGATGAACATCCACTTGCGCAGCTTGTCAGTGGAGTAGGTGAGCACAATGGCCGTGTGGAGGTAGCAGCCCTCGCCGAACATCCAGAAGAAGTTGGTGACGTGGAAGTAATTGTAGGCGGCTGTGACCAGACGGCACCAGGCCTGCCATGGCGGGGGAGGGATACAAAGGAAGCAGGTGAGGATGTGCATTTGGTAATAAAACAAACAGCCAGAGCTCCTTATCCCTGCCTGGCTGCTTGATCCATCTGGTGATGAAAACTGACAGCACTACTCCCACAGGATCTCACAGGCAGGGAGACCCAGCAGCTCCATATTACAGAGGGTAAACTGAGGCACCAAGAGAAAGTGAGTTGCCCAAGGAGACCCAATGGGTCAGTTGCAGAGTGCTCAAGTCTCTAGAATCTGCTTCCACTCTTCTCTAGCCCCCATCAAAGTACCTCACAATCATTCAGGCCATGTCTGCTCTAGGAGTTTATTTGGAATGTACTAAATTCGACTTACAGACTCCCAATTTTACAAATTTGAAGTTCCGTGTCCTCACTACAGGGAACCATCGAAATGAGTCCGAGGCAGGCTCCATTAATGTGGACGTGCCACCTCAGACTCTGAGCCCCAAGAAGCTATCTGGGGAGCTGTGGGAGGCCAGTTAGTTCGAATTGGTGGCACCAGAGCATCCACACGAA